ATCTTAACTTACGTTTTCTTACCTTTCCTTATCTTATCTCACCTTACCTTACCTCACCTCACCTCATCTTATCTTATCTTATCTTATCTTATCTTATCTTACTACTGCATTTTACATTTCAGTTGGCTCTACAAAACCGTAACGAGGCCTGAATTAGAAGGGAAATGATTTTATCTAATTAAAACACAAAGACCTTCTTGAAAACACAGCAAACTTTCCCTAAACCACACGAAGGTGACGTCACTCCTCGGATGGCTCAGCATGACCGGTGTTGCCTTCAAGTGTTGCACGTAGACAAACATCAATAACCTCTTTGGGACATTAGAAGGGTTATTTGAAAATATAAACCACAATTTAAAAAAACAAATCAGTAGTGTCACTATTTATATAATGTAAGTGAGGTGTAAGTAGCTTTTTCTGAAAAGCTAAAAATATCAATAATAAAAAAAACATGTGCAGTCAAAAATAAACTTTAAAGATGATAGACAAATCTGACTCGGTAACTTTATATTTTCTGCAGTGATACGACAATTTGTTCCTGTGTTCTGCTTTTTATACAGCTACATTATCAGACAATATAATACAACGTATTGCTTTATTTCAGAAATGGCAAAATATCCCACGTCTTTAAACGCAACACTGTTTATTCCAGCCTCTGAGGACGGCTCGCTCTTCCTCTTGAATTCAGCCGAGCTGTGGTTAAACTGAACAGTTACAGTAAGTGAATGGCTGCACGGTCTGTGGTACATTCGCTTTAGCAGGGTCCTTCCACACAGAGTTACATAGGAAGAAAGTGGTGAAACGGTCCGCTCGGCCTGCAGCATTTTCTATAGTTGGCTAAAGCTAGCTAGCTTGCCCTGAGAGACTCATTGGCTGGAGTAGTAAGTACACTGTTTATTAACATGTGAAAGCCAGCCGTGTAGTAAACRGCTGCTCTGCGCGAATCATTGCGTGAAAAGTTGCCCATTAATCTACACACTGACATTGGGATGTTTTTCACAAGTGTCCCCAAATCTCGATTATAAAAAGTGCACACAACTCAATCTGCTTGTCTGTGAAGCACAGTAGCACCACCTACTGTTGTAGCTTTGATTCGTGCAGGACTGGAGCTGGAGATGCACTTAGAGCAGAGGGCTCCAGCTCTACATACATAAGTTTTGAGAACTTCTGTAATTAAACTATTATTATTATTTTAGACCACAAAATTATCTTTTTGATCAGGCTAAAGGATATTCTCWATATTTGAAATAAAACAGAATTATTTAAAGTAGTAAGTACAATAATGACTACTTGTTTTGTCTAATGTATATTGTTAAAAAATACCATCTCTGTGTTATTTGATGTAAGAAACAAAGCTGTGAGTAAATATAAACTCTCAATGTCAGACCGAACCATGTGCCCTGTAAATGTTCTACCTTACTGATTCAAGCCGTTGGTAACTATTTTTGTTCCCTTCTGTATTTTTTAACCACTTCAGTAGAAAGCAGTACTAAATATCTGAATATTAGTGTCTTAGCTTCTTCATCATCAGTGTTTTTTTAGATAGATAAGAAAGAAGACGAAAGAAAGAAAAAAGAAGGAAAGGAAACAAAAGTTTCAATGTAATGGAAAAAAGTGAAAGAAAGAATTGATGATATGTGAGATATACGTCAAGAAAACAATATAATCCATCCAACATCTGTCTGCACACCTGCAAAGAATTAAGGTTACAAAACTTAGCAAAAGCATACATACAGCGGGTAAAATAAGCATTGAACACGTCACCATTTTTCTCAGTAAATATATTACTAGAGGTACTAATGACATGAAATTTTCACCAGATGTCGGTA